AGGCAGCAGTGGGGAGTTGTGCTTTGTGGGACTCAGGTACACGAACATCAGCTGTTGTTGTTACAGAGCCTATGGCAGGAGGGTTCCAAAAATTCCAAAGCACTTTGTACATTTGAATTCTATGCTCTGGTTTACTTGATTTGTTTGTAATAAATCTGTCTTTATACTCACACAAAGGATGTGGATCAGTGAACCTCTTCTTGCTCTTGGCTCCAGCCTGCAAAGGCAGAGGTAACAAGCAGCTCCCAGGCTGTGGTGAGGTGGGTTTGGCTCCTCCCTGAGCTAAGGGCATCTCCAGCAGTTACAGCCTGCCTATCAGCAGTTTTGCATTTTTGTTACTGCCAGGCAATGTGAGTTTGCACCAGGGAGTGAGACTGGCCTGAAACTGCCCTCGTTGTATTTGGACTCAGGCTCTTTCTATGTGTGGCAGTTACATCAGAAATAGTTCCTTCTCTGAAATTATCAGGACTATTTGAGCATATTAAAAAGGTGAGATTTTCCTGCCATCCCTCATCTCCAGGAGCTGGAATTGATGAAGGCAGAGTTGAGACTCTAAAGTCAGCAGTTCTGTGTATGAACAGTGTGTTTCACACATGCTTCAGGACAGCCCTTGGCCCCTGGAACTGGGCCGAGGTGGTTGTGCACCTTGCTGGGCTGGGACTGGACTGGGAGTTGCAGATAAACACTTTCTGAAGCAATTAGTGGCTTTTTTCATTGACATTTAAGCCAAATTTATATGGCTTTAAGGGAATGCAGCATCCATAACAGGCCGTGTGCCAGGGCACTGAGGTGCAGACAAACTTTGCTCTTAGCCTCATTCTGTACCTGGTTTTGGGTGCTGGTAAAACCCCCAGGAGCTGGGCTGAGCTGGGGCAGCTGGAGAGCCTGGGCTGGCAGCACAGGAGCACTGCTGGCTGCCCTCCACCCCTGAGTGTGCAGGGTGCATCCCTGGGCTTTGGGGAGCAGCCTGACATTGGGATATACTTGGAGCCTGATTTTCATAACACTATGGACTGAAGGAAAAGGAAGGGAACGTGTGGACAGAGCCCACGAGTGCAGGGAAGTGAGAGAAGGTTGGGCCCTGCATCAGGGAAATGCAGGAAAGCTGGGGGCTGATAGGGACAGGCATGGGCTGGGGGATGATGGATGGTTAAGGCTCATTAGAAACACCTGAGGCTCGTTAGGGACACCTGAGGCTCGTTAGGGACAGCTGAGGCTCATTAGGAGCACCTGAAGCTCGTTAGGAACACCTGAGGCTCGTTAGGGACAGCTGAGGCTCACAAGGGCCAGCAAAGGTCTGTGGGGCAGGGTCTGGCAGAGGCTGCTTGTGTTGGGGTGATGTGCAAGGCTGTGGAGCTCTGGGCCCTGGAGACAGTGAGGCCAGGTAAGTGAAAGGCTTTTTCTTCTCCTTGGTGTTTTGGTAATGCTGTGTTCCATTGTCCGTGTGCACAGGGGTTCTGCTGACCGGTAACGCTGCTGGGAGCCAGGGCTGGAGCTGCTGCCTCGGCTGGGAGGAGCAGGCTGAGGCTGGACGTGGTGTGTCCAGTTTGCCAGACCCTGCTGCAGTCTGTTCGTTTGTAGCCTGAGCTGTGCTTTGTGAGTTGTTATTTGGTGTCTCCTCTGAGTGAAACCCCATTTCTGTGGCTGCTCTGGGATGTTTTGCTGTCGAGCACCCAGCTGGGCTGGCGAAATGTTCCTGTCGGGTGTGGGGGTTTTGGATGCCCTCGGGCGTGGCAGTGCAGCTGGCAGGGGCTGGAAACGCTCCCTTTGTGCTGGGTCTGTCTCTGTTGGGGGGTCTGTGCTGGCTGCTCCTGTTCCTGTTTGCTGTGGCTCTCCCAGGGCAGAGGGACCCCCATGTTGGTGCCTCCTGGGGCAGTTCTGGGGTACAGCTCTGAGCAGGGAAACATCAAACTGCTCCAGTCACGGCCAGGGCAGAGCCTTTGTGCTGGGGGACTGCAGTTTGTGTGGTTTGGTTTGTTAAATGAAACATCTCTGCCCTTCAAATATAATTGAGAATTAAATTTATTATTTCTTATTCTTTATAAAAGACAACAAAGCTCATCTTATCTTAAGCTTTTTATTGCTTGCATGTGAGATGTAGATAAGATGAATGAGATGTAAGACTGTGCTTTTATGATGCCCTGGCCCATTCCTGGCAGGACAGCACAAAGCTGCCGTTATTCTGGGCACAAAGCTGCTGGCAGCAGCAGAACCTTCCTGGGATTAATTAACACGCGGTAATTGCCCTGCAGTGGGGAGGGCCGGGTTTGTGTGGCAGAGCTCTGCCCCACTCTGCAGGTGGTGGCAGGACCTTGAGCAAAGGACAGAGAAGGTGCTGGGGGGCCCAGAATGGCCTCAAGTGCTGCTCTTGGGAGGGAAGCAGCTTCTTAAACAGTTCAGTGCCTCGAGAAAACTCCGTGGCGGTTGTATTTCCCATTTAATAATGTAACTCATCCTATCTGGGAGGGAAAACTTTGGTAATTGCAGGGGGAGATCACCTGAGGTGTCTCTCAGGGAATGGGCAGGGAGCAGAGGGGTGGAGGAGCTGCTGTGCTGGGGGGTCTCTGTGGGAATCTGCTCCTGCTGTGGTTCAGCTACAAGTCAGTGAGAGGAGAGGTCAAACCAGGACTCAGTAACACTTGCTTTATCCAGACCAAAGATTTATTCACTGAAAAGATTCCTACATATCCAGAATTCCAGTAGCATGGAGTGCACTCTTTTTTTCTTTTTTTTTTTTCCTGGTTGCATAAACTAATACAGAAACTGTTGTTAATTCTAACAATTTGTAATTAATTTAATAGCAATTCTGGAAGACACTCAGTTCATAGAAAATATAAAAAAAAATTTGTACTGTACAAAGTTTACATCACATTTGAAAAGAAAACGTGTCCATGTTCACCATGTAACGACCATTTACATTCACTACTGACATGTGGCTCCTGTAGCAGCATTGCACAGCATTGTCACATTGACAGCTCCACGGGGCAGGACGCGTGACACAAACACAACCCAGGGACAGCTTGGTGTGCGGGGCTGGGGCAGCTCCATGGCCCCAAGCTCGGTGCCCAGAGCCCTGCTGGGCTCGGCTGGGTGCCCCTGGCTGGCCAAAACTCAACCACCCACAGGGGCTGGCCAAAACTCAACCACTCACTGAGGCTGGCCAAAACTCAACCACTCACTGAGGCTGGCCAAAACTCAACCACCCACAGGGGCTGGCCAAAACTCAACCACTCACTGAGGCTGGCCAAAACTCAACCACTCACTGAGGCTGGCCAAAACTCAACCACCCACAGGGGCTGACCAAAACTCAACCACCCACAGGGGCTGGCCAAAACTCAACCACCCCACAGACACTGTCAGCCTCTCCTCTGGCTGTGCTGGGGCAGAGGATGAGCTCCGTGTTCAAGGGCAATTTATGGGTGTCCCACACAGCACCCAGGCCAGGCTGGATCCCGATCCCCCTGTTAAGGGCAGGCTGTGAACAAGCCCCTGTGCCAGGACTGGGCCCATCCCGCAGTGCCCAACACCCCGACCCAGGGCAGGGCAGGACACGAAGGGCTCCACAGACAGGGCCTGCCCTGCACGGGAGGGACCAAGGCTCAGTCTGGGGCCCGTGCACAGCCAGGCCACTGATCCCACACAGAACATTCTGGGTGTCCCAGCTCTCAGGGCCTGCTTTGTGCACCCAAAAACAGTGAGGAGCACCCTGAGGCTGCTGCTGCCCTTGACACCGACTGAGCTAAGGGCCAGTCTGCACCCAGCAGCAGCCCCTAAAGCAGGGTTCCAGCCCAGGGGCAGCACCTTTCTGCCCTGCTTTGGGTTTGTGTTGTGCTGCTCTTAATTAAGCAGCATTGGGGGGAAAACAATTTCTGCTTCAGGCTGCTGACACACCATCAGTGAGAACTGCAGAGCCCGAGGGGGACAGGGATCAGGGCAGCCCTGCAGTGCCCAGCCATGCCAAACCCATTTCTCTTTTTGATCTGAGACACATTTAAAAAGTCTTTGTCAACACTTGTAAGAGGCTGCAATGGACTTGCACACAGGACTGAGGCTCTCTGCTCAACAGGACTCAGGTTTTGTGCCACTTAGTTCCTCACACAAGGCAGCCAAACTGAGGGCTGGTGCTTTGGCTGCTCAGAGATCTGGGAGCTCCCCTGAGCCTCAGGGATGGGAAAGGGGAGCCTCTGCTAATGGGGCCTGCCATTGATTTCCAAGGGGGACGATGCATCTGTCACCTCAGTGTGGTCACTGGCTGTCACCTCCATAACCTCCACACTGTGCACTGGAGGAGGAGGAGGTGGGTTTTGATTTTAAAACTAACCTCTGAAACGAGTCTGAGGTGTTGGGGTCAGGCAGAACCTCCAGGCCCAGATACTGCCTTCTTGGTTACAAGATTTGTTATTCTTAAAGGTTTTTTTTCCTCAAAGCAACTGCTTTGGTCCTATGTTTCTCAAACAAAGAACTTGCAAGCTCAAACGTGGCCAACTGTAGGCAGTGGCAGCACTCTGTGGGTGTGCAGGGACACTGCAGCTCTGTGCATCAAGGCCTTAGTTAATGCGTTATTTAGGAATAGCTTTTCCTTTGTCCTGTTTCTCTTGCCTTTCCCTGCACTCAAATTTGTGTCTGAACCAAAAGAGGAATTTGGTCCCTGTGCAGAGCTGTGACAAGTCATGAGTTTATTTTTTAAGGCCAGCAATTCTTAATTCCTCTGGGATTGTATGAGAAGGAGCAGGTTTTAGTGTGAGTTCTGTGGAGAAGAGCACCTGAGTCACTGAGAGCCAGCCCCCATGGCCAGACACTGCGCCTGCAGCAGCTCTGTTGTGCTGTAGCTGAACTGTAGCTGAATTCAGGGTGAGCCAGAGCTGGAGCAGCCCTGCTGGAACAATGGGTGGCCTGGGCAATGCCAGTGCGGCAGGCTGGGCTCTCCTTCAGGAGAGAGCTGACTGCAAGGCCACAACTGCAGGAGCCACGTCGCTGTTCCACTGCCGGAGCCCGCTCTGAGGGCAGAGTGGCTCCTACGGACCACGGACACGAGGAGGAACCAGAACAGCTCAGCTCTTTCTCAGTGCCATTTGAGAATGGCTGTATTCAACTTGATTCACTGTTTATTATGTTTAAAAAAATATAGTTGACACAAAAGTATCATGTAAACATTGTTAAATAGCTGCTGGTGCTCAGGCGGGACCCGGGGCTGAGCTGATGGTCCTTCAGCCTCGGCGTGGAGCAGCCAGGGAGGGTTTCTGGTGCTGTGTGGGAGCAGGCAGCCAGCATGGTCGCAATGACACCGGCCTACAGCTTTGGGTTACTCGGTTCCAGGATCCCCAAGCCCAATCTTTCAAAACGCAGGACAACTTTGCTACTGTTAATGCTGCAGAGAGTGAGGAGGGAGAGGAGAAGGGAGGGGGAAACAGTTACTGAGGATTCATCTTACAAAGCTACTGCCCTGTCACAGGAGCTGCAATGAGTTTGGTTCTGCTCTCACATCAGTTCACCCAAAGAGATGCTCAAGTAATTCAGCAGCAAACACATGAAGTTATTCATGCAAACATTATCAGTGGGAAGAAACTGCACCATCTGATTTGCCCAAGGGAGAGGAGCAGGAAGTTTTCCCAGGTCTCTACCGTGGGTAGAAGCCTGACGCTGGTTTTCAGTGGGCACTTGCTTCTCTTCAAGTAGAAGGGAAGGAAAAACTGACAGAATTTTCTTTGTAAGAGAAAGGGGAGTTTTGACAAAGTACATGAACAGGCTAAAAAACCCCAACAGAACAAACCCAAGCCCATGTGCTCCTCCCCAGGCTCTAAAAACAAATAAAGGGGTGTCTCCCCTTGCTCTCACACTGCTGGCAGAGCCAGAAGCACTTTCAGCTCAGAGCTTTCCTGAGGAGGCTCAGGGAATGATGTGGGAGCTTGATGTCAGGCAGCAGAAACCCCCTTGGAGTGTGCTCTCCCCGTCCCTGTCCTCTCCCCTCCAAACCAGTGAAGACAGACCTTTTCTAGAAGGCACATGTTTGCTGTGGTAGCTGTGACTCTGCCAAGGCCCTACATTGAGTCCTCCTGCTGCCCAGCGATGTAAACAGAAGCAAACTGTAACATTCCAAGGCCTGGATCTGCAAGGGGAGGAGCTGAAGGCTGCTCTTGCTTTCCTCCTCTTTTACACAGCTTTGTAGCTGATCCCAGGTGACCCACGTGGACCTGCCCCGGACACTGCCCCAGCCTGGTTCCCAGTGGGCACAGGACCCTCCGAGCAGAGCAAGGACCATCCTTCCTTCCACTCCAGAACTGACCCTGGCTGCAGCGCTGGCTCTGTGCCCGAGGGAGAGCCGGCCTGGCCTCAGCCCCTGCTGGCTTGCAGTGCAAGGGCTGTGACGGTGTCCCTGTCACTGCAGGCACAGAGCTGCAGCCCAAGGACACAGCCCCAGAGGGGCTCAGGGCCCCGCACAGGTGCAGCAGTGTGGAACAGGCACGCTGCCCTGGGGGGCACCTGCTCGGGCACAGGGGCCCGTGCCCTGCCCAGAGGAGTCTCGGCTGCCGTGGCACAGGAGCCCGGTGTTAGCCACGAGGGTCTCGCAGACACGAGTGGTTATTGAAGCTACAGCCCACACCAAGCCAAAGGCAGAGAGGAGAATCGGATAAAGTGTTGATTATGTCCGTGGGTTAATTTCGTGGTTTGTTTTTGCTTTTTTAATGGAAGGTGATTGTCCAAGTTGCCGGTTAGGATACGACACATGGAAGCATGCAAGGTGGAGCCCGTTATTGCACCAGTAGCTACAACCTACAAAGAAATATGGGAGGGAAGGGAAAAAGACACCATGAGAGTTAGTTTTCAGTTATTAAAAGCAAGCCCTTGAGAACTACACATTGTACAGCTTGACCAGGCTGCAGCAGGGTTAGTGCCGTGTGTGAAAGGATCTGGGTGAGGTGGGGGGAGCTCCACTGCTCAGTGCATGTTCTTTGTGTGAGGATGAGGCCAGAGTCTGGGGGAAGCTTTTCTGCAGTTTAAAGTTGTTGGACACCACTGGTGTGTCAAGGCTCCAGTACAAACGGGGGGGAAATTGCACAGGAGAAGTGGCAGAATTTTCAACCAAAACTCCAAAGCCCCCACACCCAGCAGAGACCAAGCTGTCACCACAGTTCCTGTGTCAAGAGTTTGGGTGGTTCTGATCAGGTGTTACAGGAAGAGAGTGAAGGATTATAGGAAGGGAAGGGATGGGTTAAACATCAGAACAAAGAGAAACTAAATACGAGCAGTTGAGGAGATGAAAAGAAACACTGACCAAGGGCACGGTGAATGGGCACTGGGCACAGATGTGTCTGTGGCCTCAAACCCACGCAGTCTGAACCACTTCAGAGGGAAACAGTTCCTGGGTCCTTCCCCTCCTCAGGCAGTACCTGCCATTACAATCACTGGGGAAGTTCTGACCACTCTGGGGTCAGTGAGGGCCCTTCCCAATGCTGTTGTGGATATTCTCTGACACAAACAGGGGATCAGTCAGCTGCTGGAGGGAGGTGAATATGGTGAAGTTGGAAATTAACTGTCTGAGGCTCATGGCTTAGTCACATCATTTCCCAGGAACTAGAGAAGCACAGGAGCAGTGCTCCCACCCTGTCATGTCTGACAGCCCCAGGAAAGCAAATAAAGCTCAGAAATGACCAGTTAGCAAATTGCATGGCATCAGTGTTGTGAGCAGCAGCAGGTACTCACTCGGCAGACTTCCAGAAGTGCCCTGGGTGGGAGAGCCGGCGGTTCAGTTTTGGCAGTTTTTCAAGCATTTCCATGAGGACAGTGAAGCTGGGCCTCTCGCTGAGGTCAAAGGCCCAGCAGGCCGAGAGGATTTCCTGCAGAGGACAGTGGTGGCTCATTCATTATCTCAGGTCATGGGTCAACTGTGCAGACCAGAAAACTGTCAGAGCACTGGGATGTGTGAGCCCAGGCAGACACTGCTCACAGCGGGCCTGGACACTGCCAGAGCCCGAGAATGTCCCGTGCTGAGGACGTTCACTTCTGCACAGGCTAAACCTATGCCATTCTCCTCTGTTCTCTTTCCTGCCCTTTCTCTTTCGAGTTCTGAGTATAGTAACTCTTGAAGCAGCCCCCTCTGTCCCTGACAAGCAGCTGTGTGAGGGGCTCCTGCAGCTGAGGTACTTACATTGACCTCTTTGCCCAGGCTGACAGTGGCAAGGACTTGTCTCACTCCCTCTCCGCTGCCGATCTGCCAGATGAGAGCCTCTGCAGGCTGGCTCCTGAAGGGCCACTCCCGTGCCTGCAGCTCGTACCACACGGTCCTGCAATGCCAACAGACCAACAGACGGGTCAGGCCTCTGCTGCTCCTGACAGACAAAGTACCCGGTGCTGGCACTGTTCCAGCTGCTTCAGCTGAGCTCTGGGAGGTGCCTGAGGCTGTGCAGCAAACCCCTTCCACCCACGACTTTTGGAATAGGTGAGGAAAATGTGTCCCAGCTGGAATCCTGAGTCTGAGAGAAGGGGAGCACTGACTGAAAGGCTTAGGCCAGTAGCCAGCCTCACTTAGCAAGCTCTCATGGTACTCCTGGGTGTTCCTTTCTTACCCAAAGGCATAGATATCTGCAGCTTTGGAGAAAGGCAGCTTGTCTTCATCTTTCCCTGGGGCCATCTCACGGACAATCTCAGGGGCCAGGTAGCACAACCAGTCATGAGGCAGCTTCAGCTCATTCTCCCTCCTGAGTCCAAAAGAAAGAAGCAGGACTAAAACATTGGTGTGGAGGCCATATCTGTGCTGCACCTATGCTTTGGCTTTATTTACTCCAATGTTTTTGCTGATGTTTTATTTCTAATTTTCTTGCCATGTTAACAAATAGGCACGTGTCAGCCTGACACTCACAGCTCCTTCCTGGCATTAAGGTCTTGTTTGTTCTGTGCTCTGAGGCTTAATCCAAACTCTCTAGCTGTGCTACTGCAACTGTAGGAAGAACTCTGCTAAAAAGGAAAACAAAGCAAACAGGCACAATGCAAACTGAGTGTGTACTAAACCAATGGATGCTTCTTGTGCACTCCAGGAAATGTTTCCCTATGTGACCATTTGTCATTCCAGAGCTGGAACCAAGCACTGAAACCTCCACTTACCTTCCTTCCTGGACCACACCCGAAATTCCAAATAATCCAAAGTCGGTGATCACAACTTTCCCATTGTCATAGAAGACATTTTTGGATTTCAGATCCTTATGTACAATCCCCTTTGCGTGGAGATACCCCATGCCCTGGGAAACACAGCAGAGATGGAAATGTTTTTGGGGTTTTATTATTTCCAAGCATACTCTGCTTTCTAACACATTTCCCCTTCCTAACTCCAGTGTCAGGGATTAGCTGTAACTGGGGGCAGGGCCCCTGTGGGACTCGTGCAGGAAGGTGTGGGGAGAGGCTGAGGGAGCAGCTCCCAGTGCTGTGTGCAGCTCTGAGCTCTGCCTGAGGCCCTACCCAGTGGCTCCCTTGGCATAATAAGCTCTTACCTTAATGATCTCTTGTGCTATCTGCCTGGTTTTGTTGATGTCCAGGGAGATCTTGGGGTCTCTCACAAAGGAGTGCAGCGTCCTTCCTTTGCAGAAGCTACAGGAAACGTTTATATATGAGAACATTGCTAGCTCTACAATACATATCCAGTAGAACCAACAGAAAGATCTCTCTCCCTACCTGGTAATGATTGCCAGGTGAGGGGGGTTCATGCAGGCTCCCATGAACAGCACAACGTTCTCATGCCGGGTCTGCCTGTAGTTCATCACCTCCTTCTTGAAGAGCTTCAGGTGATCCTGGTTGTTGCCATCGATCTCCAGCAGCCTGATGGCCACCTCCCCGTGCCACTTGCCCTTGTAGACCTTGCCCCAGCGGCCCTGGCCGATGGGGTCCCCCAGCTGGATCTGCTCGAAGGGGATGTCCCACTCCTGCAGGTACACGCTGGTCTGGCTGGGTTTGCGGTAGATCATCCCCTGCAGGTGCGGCCGCCGGTTGGGCAAATCTTCCACCTCATCCTCATCATCCTCGGGCTCCGACTTCCCCGCCTCTGCTTCCTCCACCTGTGCCCAGCAAGGGAAGGGAAAGGTGTGCTCGCAGTCCCTCGGGGGGGCAGAGCAGCACAGGCTGCTCCAGAGACCCCCGGGGCAAACACAAACCCACCTGTGCTTCCCGTGAGCCTCCGCCCGTGCCCGGCTGCTGGGCAGCGCTGCAACAGCAACAGAGAGAGCAGTTGGACATCGCTGGGCAATGGGGGCCCCTGCTGCCAGTGGGGAGCAGAAGAAGCCAATACAGAACAGATCCTGACAGTTACAGAAGCAGAGAAAAATACAATTCCTGCTCCATGTAAAAGAGAAGGACTCTAAGCTCAGTTTGGCAAATGTAAGACAAAGATTGGAAGTGATTCTTGATAATTAAGTGGCAGGAATTGATTTGGCAGTGGCATGGCTCTGTTATTACACTGTGTTCCAGGAATAGATGCTCCCATTCCTACCCCTGAAACACCTGCAGTGGAGCAGCTGGCAATGCAGGCTGGAAGCTTTTCCACGCCCTGCAATTGGGATCCTGAAAGAGTTGTTTGCTTGCAGCTCAGTGGGCCGTGCCCTTCAAGTTACAGAACTCCAATTTCTGTTTCATCTGACCCTTCACACAACCAGGACTAGATATTAAAGGCTTGGACTCCTTAGTGTACCATTTAAAGTGTCATATTCAGCTTTATAAAACTGGCAATACCAGCATCACCCTCACTGACTAAAGTTACCCTGGGAATTCTTGGGTGTTAAATCTGGTTTTGGCCATAACACAGCACTTCTGGGCTGACGTGAGGATTACCATGTAAATGCTGTGCAAATGAAAAGATTTAAAACTCTACTTACTTAGTGTCTGCAGCAGTTTCTGGAAGCTGTGCTGTTTGTGCAGGACTGGGAATTTCTGGGAAAGTAGAAACAGTTATGATACATCTTCTACACTTCAATCTCCTATGGACTGCAAGTTTTAACACTGCAATAGCAACTATTTGCTTCTTGTTTAGGAATTATAAGCTCAACCACAGACAAAGGGATTTTATACTTTTACTGATTTAAAACTATGCTCATCTCTCCTATGCCTGCATGTTGGCTGAGCCCAGTCCTCTTCCATTTCCCCCACCTATCTGTGAAGTCCTTTTGGCTGGGCACAGAGCCATAAAAGTGAATCTTTAGAAAGGAGGAACATGGATGTGAGTAGAATCCCACAGCAGGAAACAAATGTTCTACAGCTGAATATTCAAAGTTCCATCTCAATACATAAATCACACCTCAGATTAGGGGAGAGAGGCCTGAGTAAAGAGAAAGTCTGGATTGTTTTAGACAGGTATTTTAAAGCAGAATGATTGTTCTTGGGCAGCATGCAGAGGTTTACAAACAAGTTATGTTTTGGCATAGAAGTTGGTTAGTAGAATTAAAACAATCAACTCACCTGGGAAGACAAACTGTTGTCTATGCTGAAGGTAGTAGGCAGCTTTTTAATTAATTGGGGTTTTGTAAGAAAGGAACAGCAAAAAAAATACCAGGAGAAAAAAAAACAAAACAACACAAACAAGTTAGAGGATCATCAGTGAGTGCCTCATGTGCATACAATGAATTAGTCCCAGGTCACTGCTGGGAACAGATTAGTGGATTATCGGCCTGCTGGGGGGAATTTCAGCACATGCATTTTGGGAGGGCCCTGACAGATGACAGGTATCACACACAAGCTCTGCCACCTCTCTCAAACAGCCTGGTGGGCAAAGGCAGAGCCCAGGAATGTGCAAGGCAGGCCCACATCAGGTGTGATGTGATGTGCTCTTGTGTCTCAGCTTTGCAGAGGTGCCCCCACAGAAGGTGAAGCTCATGAACCATCTGCCTTTTTTATTTTTTCAGTGAGTCTGAGCAGTTTGTCCCAATGCAAAGTAACTGCAGTGGAATCCTTACACTGAACTGCCTCTAGTCCTTTTCAGCAGGCTCAAACAGCAACTTGAATTCACAGGTCAGAAGCTGATGCAAAATTCAGCAGTGTTCAAGGCCAGATGTAGTAGCTACTGAGCACATTGTGACTTTAGGTCAAAGGAATTCCATTTATTCTCACTGTTTAGATCTTTGCCCTCGTCAGAGGTGCTTGCCCTTCTCAGCTCTGGTTAAAGCTGCACACTGAGGCTCTCAATCCATAGGGCATGAAGGGTGAACTTCTCTCTACCAGTTATGCTTGACAATGGTTTAAAAGTTGGTGTTGATTGTGGGTTATATTTTGGAAAGGTTTGGTAAAGTAATTCATTCCAGTTCTCACTTTTACAGCCGGCTCCAGCAAGCACCTCCCTCCTGACTGAAAGCCCCTGGTGAGCACACATTGCAGGCAGCATGCATTGTACAGCACAAAGGGAAAGGAGGAGAAAAAAATAGCTTTTCTCTTCAGTCCTTTTCCAAAAAGGAAAAGGAGAAACGTTCCTCAATAATCTGTTCCCTGCAAAGATATCTTGCTGATACCCTTTAAAAATCTGTAAGGTACTTTTACACCTTGTTTAAGGCAGAATCAGGTACTCAGAAACCCACAAGTCCCTCTGAATGCCTGGCCAGCTCCTGCAGCCTGCTGGCAGGGAGGATTTACCTGGGAAGTTGAAGCGCCCGTCCCTCTGGCCCATGGGGGACGCGTTGGGGGGCGGCGTCGCACTGGGAGGGTTGGAAGACTGGAAGGGTGCTGGGGAGGAGGGAGTGGATGAGGTTGTGGAAGAAGGATTACTGCTGGAGTCCAGGTGGTTTATTGCTGGTGGATGCTCCTGCAAAGCAGGCAAAGACACTGTGAGAGAGCAATAAAGAGAAAGGAAGAGTTCCCCTGTGTCTGCTGCACAACAGCAGAGGGAACTTGTTCCCAGGCTTGATCGTGGCATTGCTGTGCTGAATAAGCACCTGGAGCTCTGCACAGCCCCTGCTTTACAGGGACAAAATGTCTCATATCCAAGCCTTGCAAAGGGAAAGCTCTCACTCCAACCAGGGAGATCCAGCCTCTCCCTAATGCAGCTCCCCAGGGACTCTGGACGTGCCTCAGCCACCTCGTACCTTTTTAGTTAGTGCTTTGGGGAGGGTTCCAAACTGGGGTTCTGTGGGTCTGTCTACTGGATTATTGATATCAGATGGGACAGACTCTGTTCTTCTTATTTTTGTTACTGAAAAACAGGTTGGAGAAGGGAGAGAAACAGCTTTAATGAGACTTTTCATTCTTTCCATGCAATCAATTACATTGAAGTGCCAAGAATTTGTAGAAAATTACTTACTGGGAAGGAAGGATATTCTACAAGCAGGTGCCTCTTTAGTACATTTGTTGTGACATTTTAATCTGAAAGATAACCATTACATGTTAAATAGCAACTTGTTCTTTCCCAAATAGAGGAAGTCTACCCTTAATTTGTAATTCTTATGCTAATCTCAGAAGGAGTTCTGGAATGCTCAGCCCCAGAGCAGCAGGCATTCGTATGGAGAATTCTATTATTGAGGCTAATGAAACCACAAACATATCTTAGCATCTGATTTATTTTTAATAGAATTACTTTCACTGACTCTCAGCCAGCAACCATGAAGTAGCAAAATCTCAGTCCTCTGGACTAACAAGCCTGAGAGAGAAACAGAAATTAATATTCCGGCTGTTATTTAGGGATCCAGCTCCCACTACAAGATTTGCCCAGGATGAGGTGGGAAGCCTGTGGCAGAGAAACAAATTTGGTTCATTCACGTGTCAGGCTGCCACCTTCAAGTGTGAGTTGTGCCAGGAGCATCCCTTTGCCAGGTCAGAATGACTGAAAAAATGATGCCACTGCCAAAAGTGCATCACATCAAGAGACAGGAGTTGCTGCAGGCTGGGGTGAGTCCAGTCCCAGGCTGTTCTGAAGGAGACCATCCCCGTGTGCTCACCTGCAGTACTTACACTTCACCCCGAACATCATGCTCTTCTGGCACACTTGGCAAATCTGAGATAACCAGGACTTTGTAGAGAACCTGCCAGAGACAAGAGAGGGAAAACTGACATTAGGTGGTGTCCGAGGGAAAATGAACATTTGTAGGTAGCTGAACTTGACAGTGAGACACCTGACCCGACTCCAAACCCATGTCAGAGTGCTGTGCCACCACAGCCCTGCCTGGGCTCTGTCCCTGCCTGCTCACCTGAGTCACAGCCAGCCCCAATGCCAGCCTGCTCACCTGTGAGTCACAGCCAGCCCCAATCCCTCCCTGCTCACCTGTGAGTCACAGCCAGCCCCAATCCCCCAATCCCTCCCTGCTCACCTGTGAGTTACAGCCAGCCCCAATCCCCCAATCCCTCCCTGCTCACCTGTGAGTCACAGCCAGCCCCAATGCCAGCCTGCTCACCTGTGAGTCACAGCCAGCCCCAATCCCTCCCTGCTCACCTGTGAGTTACAGCCAGCCCCAATCCCCCAGTCCCAGCCTGCTCACCTGTGAGTCACAGCCAGCCCCAATCCCCCAATCCCTCCCTGCTCACCTGTGAGTTACAGCCAGCCCCAATCCCCCAATCCCTCCCTGCTCACCTGTGAGTCACAGCCAGGCCAAAGTCTCTTCGTACCGTCTGGGGGGATCCCTGGGAGAGCTCTGATGGAGAACAAGAGGAGGGTTTAGGGAAGCACTGCTGACGTGTGCTCACCACCCTGCACAGAAACTGAGCAGTCACTGCCCCAGCTCAGCACCTCCAGCCAAGAGGAGTCACAGGAACACAGCTCAGACTGATTTGCCCCCTGTGAAGTTGCCCTTGTATTTGTTTCCATATGATTGGATAAATCATGATGTTTTATATTTAGGGATTACAGAAGTCCATCTGATCAGGTCTAAGCCATTCTTAAAGTGGAAAGTCAGACTTTACTCCTAATTGATTTACCATCACCCAGTTTTCCTGCAGTGTCAGTAGATTTCAGAATATTCTATTTCACAGAAAATTATCTCAATTTTCTAGACAGGGCCAGCATGACCCAGAAGAATGAAAACATACATGTGAGCTCACCTAACTTTCTGCTAAGTGCAGGAAGTAAGACTTCCATATGCCAAACCAGCATGCCAGTGGTTAGAGCACATAACTTCCTGAAAACTCTCCAATACTCACAATTCTGGCATTATTTCCCAAACGAAATCTACAGAAATACTGCACACGTGAGGCAAACCCCAATGTGCAAGTGTCAGCACAGCAGCAGGGCTGGCTCAGAGCCAGTCTCCTCACTTGACCATAGATGGCACCACAGTCTTTTTTATCATTAGTCCAGGGAGCTCCTAGAGGCATCTGTGATCCTCAGCCTCTTGGAAAAGGCTGGAATGGGGAGCTGCTGTTCCTAGAAATGCTGCTGTCTAGTGTGGCCGTCCAAACAATCCCAGCACAGCAGTAAAGAAGGCTGTGAACATCGGGTCAGACGGTTAAATCCTCACTGAATGAATATCAACCGGTCTGGGATTGTCCAGGACTCAGCAGAGCCCACAGCAGCCACTTCACCCCAGCCAATAGGTCTATATGAAGAGGAGCACCAAAATCCTTCATTTCTGTTTGAGTTTATTCTAGTGCCTTTTTCATTTATTGCACCAATTATCTCACTCTCCTCAGGGAAATGCTCAGATTTCTGCTGGCACTTTCATTTTACAATCTTTCTATTTCTGAAAGTAATTCCTGAGATTTTTGTTTCAAAGGGCATTAGCTTGGACTTTCATACTTGCTTTTAATACTCAGATGCTTTTGGACACTTTCCAAGCTGCTCCAATCTCTCTCCATTAGCTTCCAAGGTTACAGGTGGTGTCTGGGACACACCTCAGGATGGCCAGAACTCCCAGTGGCCCTGGAGAAACCCAGCCCTGCTCCTGCCAGCCATCACCCATGTGAACAGACTCCTCAGCACACAGGGAACACCCCCCATTCCAGCACATGCTTCAGCTTCCACAAGTGTCTTAACTTCACTGCAAAGACACTGGGCAATGCATATCCAAATGGTTAGATGTGAAATTCCTGTACCAAGAGGCATCTGTGCCAGCTGTCTGAGGTCACAGATAAGCCCCCCTTGGCTTTAACCCTTGAAACATCAGTATTCCTTTGCCTTGCTTGTGTCATCTTAGAAAATACCAGGTGCAACCAAGTAAAACCCTGTGGTTCTGTGGCAGGCCAAGCTCCTGCTCAGTTAACAGAAGCTCTGGGATAGGAGGGCCTGTGGAGAACCTCCAGAGGCTGCCCAGGGATGGCCAACAGGGAGCTGACAAGCACAGGTTCTTCTCTCTCAGCAAGGCACTGCGGACACCCCTGTGAGAATCTCTTACCGAACCTAGAAAGAAGAAAAGATATATTTTTTTAGGCTCTGATACTCCTGTGACAGGTACACACTTTGCTAGAGCAGGAACTGCTGCCTGCAGCACGCGCTGTCAGGTTTACAGACGCCTGTGGCTTTGCACAGGCTCCTGAGGTTGCTGCGTTGCCAATATTCTCCTGCCTACCTAGGGCAGCCTTTGCCGGGGAGAGCCCCAGCTCCAGCCCGGGAGGAAACTTACTTTATTGGAGGAACTTCGTCTATCCTGTTGCCCAGCTGAGACTCGTGGGACTTGCTCCTGGTGAGGGCGGGGAAGTTGGGCAGCAGCTGGAACACCTTGCGGCAGGGGGGCGGCGGCGTCCGCGGCGGCTTCAGGCGGTGCCGGCGCTTGGGCTGCGGCGTGGCCGGGGGGGTGACGGTGATGCTGTGCGGGGCGCGGGGCCGGCCCGCGGGCAGCGCCGGCGGCTCCAGCAGCGCCTCTGCCGAGGGACAGGGCTCGCAGGGCGCGGGGCGCGGCTGGCCGCCCCTGCCCGGGGCACACGGCGGGCACGCGGGCTCCGGCTGCGGGCAGGAGCTGTCCCGGCGCTCGGGGAGGGCCAGCGGCACGTCGTCCCTCGGCTCCGCTCCTGTGACACGAGCAGCGTTAGCGCGGGCCCGCAGCGAGCCGAGCCCGGGCTGCTCGGGGCTCCGGTGCCCGTTTCACCCGGCAATGATCTCCCCTGAGCCTCAGCAGGGCCCCAGGCTGCGAAAACTCAGACAGAGCCTGATCTGAGCTTTTCAGAGACATATATCTGTGTTTTTAAAAATGACATTTCTTTCTAAGAGGTGAACACCATCATTCCTGAGCAATGGCTGGTTTATACAGTGTGGATGGGAAATATTTGACAGCCTGGGACAAGAAAGATTAGAAAAAGGGAAACATGACACCGAGCTGTTTGCTGATTTTTTCCATTAACTAATCTTTACCATTTGCAAATGGATGAACTGTCATAATACCAACAGGAAACATCACCTTTCAGTGACAGATTGATAACTGCTACAAAGAAAGATGTGGTGCATGTGAGTCCCAGTCTGCTGGGAGAGGCTCTTGTACAAACAGATTGTACAGTGCCTGTGGAAGTGCTAGGGGAAGGTTTCTCTCTGAGCTGGCAATATTTGGGAAAGGCATCACCTAGAAGGAATCTGGTTGTATTTAGTAAGTCAAGGATGTGTGTCACTGACCCATGGAGAATGAGCTGGAGCATTAGACACGACTCTGAACAGAAAGGGTTAATAAGGACATCATCTACTGAGTAGGAAAGGATTCTACATACATTCATTTCCATTTCTTTATCTGACTTGATGTCCAAACCAAACCCAGCTGACAGCTCTCGACAGGTTTGATCAGCACACATCCCAGAGCCATACACTGCTCCCAGAACACCCCCAAGCAGCGTCTGCAAGGCAGCAGGTGGGGCTGGGCTGGGGACACCGGTGCCCCAGGAGAACAAGGCCGTGTGTACCTGACTCCGTCACCTTCCGCAGGCAGCTCAGGGCCCCGTTGAGCCTGGAGCACTCCTCATCTCTGGCTCCACATCTCTTCATCGTTTCTTTCACCTTTGACTCATTCATTTCTAGTAAGGCATCCAGGGTCAGCTCCTCTGGTATTCTCTGCAGGAAAGCAAGAGAGACCCTTTTGTTGCTCTGTGTACAAACAGCAGTGTCACCTGTCGGGTATTTGAGCAGTGGCACTGTCTCACTGCCGGGGCTGACTCATGGCTCACTCCCGTGGGCAGTGCCCCTCTGGCATGGCCAGCAGTGCCCACAGCTGCTCTCCCCCCTGCCTGGGGTGTGAGTGTGCTCTGCACCTCCAGGGCTGCTCATCCTCTGCTATTCCACTTAGCATTACAGGGGATCAAAATACTCCTCCCCTTGTGGAAAATTTTTGCAAAGCTACTAATAAACCTTAGCTTTCTCATTAAAAATAGGGTCAGAAATAAAACAGGTCTAAAACCTGAAAAATAGTCAGATAAGGATGTTTGGCTTTTCAGTATTAAAGTGAACAAGAGAATCAGTGAGGAAAATGACTTCTTTATTTGAACAAAAAAGAAATGTTTTGACAAAGATAGCGGCCTCCTCCTCAAGCAGTCTTTCCTTCATCAGAGAACCAGCCTTACCCATATCCTGCCTGGAGAGATATCTGTGCAGAACTCCTTCTACATCTTAATGCACCAAAGCCCCACAGTGATAAGGCTCAGATCAGGCAGACACAAAAGATACAAGAGCCTGGAAAACACAAAATGATCTGGTATTTCCTGACACAGAACTGAGCTGTGTCTCTCTCTCCTCCCCCATTCAAATGTTTCCAGTGTAAGTCTGCAGCAATTGTGGTTAATAAACAAAACCAGGATACTTAGCCCAGTTACCCAGGAATTTCCCTGTAAAGTTCTGCCTAAACAAACCTCCCTGTTGCCTATTCTCACAATGAGATCACAAATTTCACAATATTTGGCCTTCATCCTAAAGTTTCGACTCCTGGAATCAAACTATATAAAAGGCTTTGAACTTTATTTGAAGGGGAAACTCAGAAGTGTGTGTCACTGCTTGGTGAAACAAAAAGCATGGAATTCTCTAGTCCTTAAAGCCCACTTCCGACTCAGAAGCAGACGTGAATGTGCTGAATGTCCTTTCACAATTGCATCTTTCTTACGCCAGACTCTGGCTTTGAGAGCTGACGCAGGACTTTCAGCTGTGACACTGCCCAACTGCCCCAACCTTTGGAGCTCTGTAGGTGGCAACACAAAGAGTTTCCAATTTTAGTAACTGTGGCATGGAGCAAACAAAAAGAATAAATTAAGAAAGGGCAGAAGTCTAAGAAACACATCCTGTATCTTCTGTCACATGCCCTGAACTGGATGAAACACAAAACACAGCTGACTCAAGGGAGGCCAGGAATTTAAATGAGCAGTAAGCATGAAGCAGGAGCAGAGCAGAGCCAGAGTTCAATGAAGTTTGGGCAGACTTTCTTTCTTTTTCCCTGTAACTAATCTTTGCAGAATAACAAGCGCACAGACATCACAACTGATGCTGGGTATTATTAATTTTTCTGCACCACCATGATGCAGGACACAGGACTGCCCCATCCCTTTGTGTGCCCAGTCTCTCTGTGCCCAGAGCTGACTGATGATGGTCCCCACAAGGCCCTGCTCTGCACCCCAGCTCAGCTCTCACACAGACCCTGCCTGAGGGGACTGCACCCACACACAAAGCCCAGGCCTCTCTTCTGCTCAATAGGTTAATTTTAGAAAGACAGAATAGCAAGTTGTAGGAAAGTAGAAAGTACAGAAAAGGAGATTATATTTAAACAATCCCAATGACCTTGAGCTGGGAGAGCTCAGACTTTCTGAACCTGCTGCCAGCCCCCATGACACGCGACAAAAGAAATAAGCCTTCAGAGAGGGGGAGGGAGGGGAAGTAAGAGGCTTTCTTTAAACAGCCACTCATGTGCTGCACATATGTGGGGGCTTAATATAAAACTGGTCAACCTGATCCCTGTAAGATTGGCCTGCTCTGCCTTGGCTGCGTGTCACCCCCCGGCAGGCAGTGTGACAGCGAGGAGGGTCACTAGTTCAGGGTGGCTCTCAAACAGGTTCTGCTGCTGCCCTGCCTCAGCTGCTCTGGGGGCAGGAGGGCCCCTGCTCAGGGGCACGTGGGGGGCTCTGGCCCTCAGTGCAGCTCTGGGCCCTTGCACAGGGGTTACTCCAACTCTTCACCACTGAGGGTGAGACATGTGGGCCCAGCTGACCTCTCTTTACCTGCTTCTTCAGTGGGTGCTGAGGCTTTTTTTAAAAACAGCTTTAAAAATGCAGATTAAAGGGTTGCATTAGGACCAAGCTCAACACCACCTCCCTGGGCACACCTTGTCTTGACAGGGAGAGCTACAAGATATTCAGACAGTACTCTACTAATAAGGTCAGATTTAAAAACAGAGAAAAAGCAGAAGACAGAATCTGCTTTCGATCTTCAGCACCTCATAACTGCCAGCAAAATCTAAAGCCTAACCATGCACTGCTCAGCAGAAGGGATGCTAAAAAGTCCAAAGCAGGAAATTATTCCTCCCTACAACAGGTAAGAGGACTTCTCCCTGAAGACGTCGTGCTTATCAGACACAGACTGCACTTCATGGTGCACATGTCTAAAGAGAGAAAAGTGAGCACCAGTGCATCCAAGGGTCAGTCTCAATTAGCCCGGGTGAAGAGTTCACAACAGTCTTTAATCTTGTCTGGTGTCCAACTTAAATCCCTGAAACATGGCAAAAATGCTGGTATCTAACACAGTGGAGGGGTTATTTTTGGTAAAGATTCCACCCTGCAGATAAGCCTACGTAGCTAATGCTGCTGCAGGCACTCTGCAAAATCAGCCTGACCTGCTCCTCGACCCAGTAGCCACAGCTCTTCCCATAAAGCTGGACAGTTGTCAAGGCCCCAAATGCCTCCTCTTAAATCAATACATTCCCTCTCCAATCATCCTCCCGTGAAGCAGCAGATGCTAGAAGAGAAAGCCCATTACATAAGGTGCTTAAATTCCCACTGATAGCTCTAAGCAAAGCATGTAAAGATGCTCTTAAGAACATCTTGTGCCTGCTAGTTGTTATTTTGCAGTGTTTTTCTGGTGCCCAGCAATGAAGGCACTGAAAAATTGCTGTATTATTAAATTCCTGGAGATTTTATGGGCATTCTGGAAAGCCTCTCAATTGAAATTTCCAGCTTGCATTAAGCTGTGAGCATAAACAGGCCACGGTTCCACCTAACATCACCCTCCTCACTGTTCCACCTCGCAGCAGAGGCTGGAGAGGAGCTGACAGCTCAGGGCATTGTGTCCAGCTGGCTCTTTGGGGACAGGAGAGCTGCTGTCACGACTCTTCTGTGGCAGACAGGTGCAGCAGTTGCAGATCCCTCGGGCTGAGCTCAAGGCATGAAGGGTTCACAGTGCCCAAAGCTGCCAGGGGCACCTGGAGCCCTTGGCAGGGAAGGGGAGCCCTGGCAGTGGTAGGGACTATCTTCCAGGAGCTGTTTACACTGGGGAGGGCCTTCAGCTGGAACACTGAAGGAATTTTATAGCTCTAGGAAGCCTGCAGGACAGAATTAATTTGCATACACACAATTAGCACATCCAGGATCTCTGCTATCTGGCTGGCCAGCCAGAGCTCCTGCTGCCAGACCCATGGAAATCCCCAAGAGCCAGCCACGGTCCTCATGGCCTGTTCATGCAGATATGCTGACAGAAAAAGATGAGAGGATACAGCTGGGGAAACCTGATAGGCATAGGCAGATCTGCCTCTTCTACCCCCCATCCAAAGGATGCACTCACCAAAACCCCTCACAGCTCCTCCAGTGACAGATCTGCTGTGGGCTGGGGCCACCCTGTGCTAACAGAACCCTCTGCCACGGGCCCACAGCAGCAGCCCCAGGCCCTGGCTCACTCCTGGCAGGGGCATTTTCACAGGGCAGCACAAGGCTCTGGGCACACAGTTCCTGCTCAAGGCATGAGCCCTTCCTGCTCTGTTCCTGCCCCTGCCTTGCTCAGCTCTGCAGCTCTTTGGCATCGATGCTGGCTGGGGACGGCCTTCACAGGCAAGGAGGAGAAAAGGGCACAAGGGTACAACTGGGACTCACATCTGTTCCCAAAAGGAACAGCCTCAAAGCAGCCCCAACCACAGCCCTGTTCCACCTGCTCCCAGTCTCCCTGGTGACACAGCCCTGCTGATGGCCAGACCCCGGGGCAGGATGTGCCCCTCCCTGTGCAGGACAGTTATCCACTCTAAAAACAGCTTTCCAAGCTTGACTGACTGGCACCTCTGCTCCACAGCCAGCAGGGCTGGCCCAGACATGCTTCAGATGATGATAAGAAGATGACTCTGTTCTTAAGTTAGTTTTTAAGACAGTGACAAGTTACATGTGGGAAGAAATACAATAGTTCTGTTTCTGGGAAGCACAGTGATAAAGGCAGAGAAAATCGCTTTCTGGGCTGAAGAAAATAAGCCAACAGAATTTTTTTAGTCTCTTCTATTTGACAGACATACTCCAAGCTCAGAACCCAGTAAATAGCTCTGCAAGAGACTTCTTCCATCAGCTCAAGAGTGGAGAGAGCACTCTGTTCCCATCCTCCTTCTCTCCCATTGCCCTCCCAATTCCTGACTCCAACTCCCAAGGCAAGCAGGACAATCCAGATCAATGTATTTTTCTAGGACCATTTTCAGAGCAATTTTTATCCACTCAAGATGACTACATAGCATGCACACAGCTTCTGTCTGTAAGGCTCCTTGCCCTGTCTTTTCTAGGTCTCAGTTCAAGTTCCTCTTTGCTCACCTTCATCCCACCATATTTAACCATTTATACATAATTTTTGGCAGTAAACCACACATACAATCGGTCTCTAGAATTAATCAATCTCTAGAACTGATCAGATTCTAGAACTCCTAAGCAAAAACAAGGACTCCAGCATTCCCTAGAAAAACACTTAAACAGCAAGTTACAGCACCACGTTAGCCCAGCTCCAAAGCAGAGCCTGCTGCCACTTTCTATGATAAAAATCTGTCTGGAAGCTGATTAGAGGAACAGTAACAAAGCCACAGAAATAGCAAGGTTGGGGTGGGGGCTCCAAGCTCCCTTACCCCTCTGGAAGCAGCAGTGCATTGCCAAGGAGGATGCCAGGCTGGGCTGGCAGTGCCCACGTACCTGCAGGCCCGCGAGGTCGCAGCCCAGCCCTCGCACCCGGCGCAGCGTCACCGGCTCGCTGCCGTCCGTGCTCTCGGCAGCTCTAGCTGTCGCCCAGCGCCACAAACACTGCATTGTTATTGCTGTAATCTCCTCCACAACTAAAGGATTTTACAGGCAGTCATTATTCTCGTTTTAAATATAGGTTTTCAAAGAAATAAAGGAGCCCAGCAATTATAATCACCAGAGCTTTCGAGCTTCACAATGTCTAGAGCAAGTCACTGAGCAAAAATAGTCTTCACTCAGGAGTGGAGGAGTCAGCAGATATTCTAAATTGGAGCTGCTGCTCTATTTCTGACAGGAGAGCCTGGGAGCTTCTGTGCTTCCCTGCATGGCAGCTTTATTTGGGAGAGGACTGGGGGGAGCGAGGGGAGGGGAGGGGAGACAGAGAAACAGAGCATTGTTCTTCTCACCGCTGAGCTAAAGAACTCCTGCAATTAGGCTGCTTTTCAACAGTGTTATGTCACAGATTAGCACAGTCTTGAAAATACTCCCTCCAGTAGCACTAGAAATGCAAAGGGACTCAGAACCATTTAAAAAAGCAAAACCCCATCAACCCAGGCCTTTCTCCTGGTTTGTCCCTGAGAGGCAGCAGGCACAGAGAGCCCTCCACTGCACCTCCTCCTGTGCCAGACCTGCTGTTCTGTTCAGCTCTCAGGGCAGGGCTCTGAGGCAGCTCTTCTGAGACTCCACAGGTACTTGGCAACCTCTCCAGTTTCAGAGCCTGAAAGGCACAAGAAGAGAGGGCTGTTCTACCATGTGACCACACTGTGACACTTGTGCACTTTTCCTCCTCTCTGCACAATTTTTTGGAAGCCTTAAGAAGGAAACCCAGCATGCCTATTTCCATTTTACAGCGACCTAACAGTATCTGAGAGATGGAAAGCTGTTCCCCATTGCCCAGAGCCAGAATCACTCGAGGGTCCCCATTTTCACAGCATTACCTGCTCAGCTCTGTCTGCAAAGGCTCCTCCCCATCCTGTCACAGGCAGTGTGCACAAAGCAGGACACCACTCTAGATTTTGTAATAACTAACCTATTAAAGCTCCTTCTGTCAGTGATTTCCATTTTGAAAGCTTTCAGCTGAAATGCAGTTCAACATGCTGTATGAAATCTAAACAACAGCAGGAATGATCCCATGATACCTGAGACATTTCTGAAAGGTAACTCATCCCAGACAGCTCAGCACTGTGCTGATGTCAGTGTCCAGCACCAACAGTGGCTGCATGGCTATTTTTTGAGCAGTGAAATAACAGGACCAAAACAAAAACCACTGCAAGAGCAGAGCACTTAGTTTATTAGCCCAGCTATTTCCACTTCCCCCAGCTCACGGCCTGTTCCAGCATGCCTACTCAGAAATTATTTTAATGACACACAGGGTGTTGCAGTTCTGCTGTCCAGCTAATACAAGTGCTACAGAAGCTGCCTGCAGCTGCATGAAATGGATGCAGAACCCTTAAAAGATAACCATACACTCAGAATCCCAGAGGAGTTTCAGTGCTTTGTACACTTCTTACAGTTCTGTCCCAGAAGGACCAGAGTTCATTTATTTGGACACTGCTTGGGACAGGACAGCAAGAGAGCACAAATCAAAATAATACAGATCTGGGAAATTCTTTCTGCCTTAGACCAAACCCGAACTTGTTCACCCCTTTTAGTGACCACACATACAGAAGGGCAGTCTCAACCCTCTCTGCTTCCTGCATTAGCAGGATGTAGCAGATTTGAACTGTCTACCTCCCTCCTCCCTTTCCTTCACCTCTTCGCCCCTCCTTTCTGTAGGCATCACAAAGGATTTATAAAAGAGCTACAAAGACATTCTTTTAGACTCAGGCAATTCCAGTAACCTTAGAAACCAACACTAGCTGGGAGCCTGGCAGTTTGGCCACAGCAACAGGCTGCTTTTGTCCTCTCATTGTCAGTGCTGCACCTTTGGCTGTGCCACCCAAAACCTTGCTGGGCTGGAAGGCAACACCAGCACCACACTCAAAATGAACAGTAGGAAATAAAAGGAACAACTTTGTCCTGAACCCGTACTGTTTAACTAAGAGACCACTTAGTTACATCAGAACCAAGCTGGAATAACTTCCATGAAAATTTAAGGAATTTTTCACCCAGGCAGATTCCTGCTGAGGTCAAAGAAAAATTGTGGTTGTTTAGCGATCAAAGGAAACTGAATGAGAACATTGTGACCTGGCCTGCAGAGGCAAAAATGGGAAAAAGAATAGAAAAAGCCTTTTCTGCTTTGTTTAACTGTCAGTGAACTGAGCTCTACGTGTGTGTGTGTGAGAGACTGTAACAACAGTCCTGTTCTGGCTAATGCTGGACACAGAACACAGCGCAGCACAGCACTGTTAGTATCACAAAGGTAGTGAGTGATTAAGTCCTGCCGTGGCTCGCAGAGCCACAGGCAGCTGGGAGTGCACTGAAGGGACAGGAGGGCGCTGTGGGGGCTGTGTCCCCTCCTTACCTGCACCACCTCCTTCCTGACGTTGACGATGTCCAGCCAGTCGTTGAAGCGGGGGTAGCTGTTGAGCTCGGCCGTGCGGTCGCTCAGGGGCACGCTCAGCTTGCACTGCCGCTGCCGGTGGATGTAGTCAATCAGCTTCACCTGGGGAGCAGAAACAAACTCTGAGCTTCCTGGGCACGGGCTGACCTTCCCGGGGTGTGCTGGCTTGTGACACAGGAGTGACATCCTCCTGTGAGCTCTGGGGAAATCCACGCAGTGCATTTCCCTCACACTGAGCATCTTTGCTCTTCAGCATTCCAGCAGAAGGCAGGGCCTGCTCTAAACCCCCATCAACAGCAGTTCTGAGGCAGGAATAGCCAAAGTACCCAAAGACTCTGAGGCCTGTTATCTGATGGGCATTTCTATTACAAAATCAACATTAAAACCAGCTAACTTGAAAGAACAAAAATTCAGGCAGTTGGACTAGATGATTTCTGCACATCTTCTATTCTAAAGTTTTATTCCAAAGCTTTTATCTCCTGACCATCTCATGGCAAATGCACTACACAGAATTCTTCACTTAAGGCACAAAAGAATAAAACAGCAAAAAGGAGTATTATTTGTGCCTTATGTTTGCGTATCAAAAAGAAAATACTCTCCAAAGATTGCTCGCTGTGTCACACATTCCCATGAGGCAGGCTTAAGCTTCAAAACCTTCCTAACAAAACAATGCCTCAAAGCAAGTTAGCTGATCCATGATTTATAAACCAAAACATGTTCTTAGTCAACAAATTTTAGCATCTGGGACATGATCAGACTGAAAATGTAAAGGAAATAACAAACATGGATTCTTTGACCATCATGTGTCTCCTCTTACAGTTTAAGTGCTTTCCTATGAAGTTAGTTGAGAACATGTTTTATGAGCAATCTATTCCTTACAACTATCAGCTGTAACAAGTTTGTCCCTGCCCACACACCAAATTCTGACAGCAGTGCCATGCAGCCTGAGATTTGTCAAAAAGTGTGTGAATACTGAAGTGATTCCAATTCCTGTAATGCCCAGAGCAACGCAAGCACTGCCATTCCCAGGAGAGGCAATCCAGGACTACCATGTCCTAGAAACTCAGCCATCCCTTTGCATTCTCGCCCTGACCACCCCTGCTGAAACCAGAGGAGCCTTTTCACCACAACTTCCCAACAGGGCTTTGGAGCCCCAGCCCTACAGTGAACTGGAAATCCCAACCATTTATTCTCAGTACCCCTTTTTATATAAAGGGGCTCACAGCACTTCCTTTTTTCCACCCCTGCTCTGCTTCCTCAGAGCAGGGCAGGGCCAGCCTGGGGAGAGACTGGCTGTGGGCTCAGCAGTGCCTGGGCCCCAGCGGCTGCCACGCTGCTGCTGTGTGCCAGGCAGGGCCCAGGGGCTCTGTCCCTGCCCTGTGTGCCCTGTGCTGGGCCCTGTGTCACCCCAGGGGCTGCTGCTGGCTGCGCTCTGGCTGCCCTCTCCGCACCAGCCCCTCAGCTGTGCCCTGCCCTGAGTTTCCCTGGCTCTGGAGCAGGGCAGCTGGGATCCTCCAGGGAGCTGGGATCCTGCAGGGGCTGGGATCCTGCAGGGCAGCTGGGATCCTCCAGGGCAGCTGGGATCCTGCAGGGGAGCTGAGATCCTGCAGGGGAGCTGAGATCCTCCAGGGCAGCTGGGATCCTGCAGGGAGCTGGGATCCTCCAGGGCAGCTGGGATCCTGCAGGGGCTGGGATCCTGCAGGGAGCTGGGATCCTGCAGGGCAGCTGAGATCCTGCAGGGGAGCTGGGATCCTGCAGGGAGCTGGGATCCTGCAGGGCAGCTGAGATCCTGCAGGGCAGCTGGGATCCTGCAGGGGAGCTGAGATCCTGCAGGGCAGCTGAGATCCTGCAGGGGCTGGGATCCTGCAGGGAGCTGGGATCCTGCAGGGCAGCTGGGATCCTGCAGGGAGCTGGGATCCTGCAGGGGCTGGGATCCTGCAGGGCAGCTGGGATCCTGCAGGGCAGCTGGGATCCTGCAGGGGAGCTGGGATCCTGCAGGGGAGCTGAGATCCTGCAGGGAGCTGGGATCCTGCAGGGCAGCTGGGATCCTCCAGGGAGCTGGGATCCTGCAGGGAGCTGGGATCCTGCAGGGGCTGGGATCCTGCAGGGCAGCTGGGATCCTGCAGGGCAGCTGGGATCCTGCAGGGCAGCTGGGATCCTGCAGGGAGCTGGGATCCTGCAGGGAGCTGGGATCCTGCAGGGCAGCTGGGATCCTGCAGGGCAGCTGGGATCCTGCAGGGGAGCTGAGATCCTGCAGGGCAGCTGGGATCATGCAGGGAGCTGGGATCCTGCAGGGGCTGGGATCCTGCAGGGCAGCTGGGATCCTGCAGGGCAGCTGGGATCCTGCAGGGGAGCTGGGATCCTGCAGGGCAGCTGGGATCCTGCAGGGGAGCTGGGATCCTGCAGGGCAGCTGGGATCCTGCAGGGAGCTGGGATCCTGCAGGGCAGCTGGGATCCTGCAGGGCAGCTGGGATCCTGCAGGGGAGCTGAGATCCTGCAGGGCAGCTGGGATCCTGCAGGGGCTGGGATCCTGCAGGGGAGCTGGGATCCTGCAGGGCAGCTGGGATCCTGCAGGGCAGCTGGGATCCTGCAGGGGAGCTGAGATCCTGCAGGGCAGCTGGGATCCTGCAGGGCAGCTGGGATCCTGCAGGGGAGCTGGGATCCTGCAGGGCAGCTGGGATCCTGCAGGGAGCTGGGATCCTGCAGGGCAGCTGGGATCCTGCAGGGGAGCTGGGATCCTGCAGGGGAGCTGAGATCCTGCAGGGAGCTGGGATCCTGCAGGGAGCTGGGATCCTGCAGGGCAGCTGGGATCCTGCAGGGCAGCTGGGATCCTGCAGGGCAGCTGGGATCCTGCAGGGAGCTGGGATCCTGCAGGGAGCTGGGATCCTGCAGGGGAGCTGGGATCCTGCAGGGGAGCTGGGATCCTGCAGGGGAGCTGAGATCCTGCAGGGAGCTGGGATCCTGCAGGGCAGCTGGGATCCTGCAGGGCAGCTGAGATCCTGCAGGGGCTGGGATCCTGCAGGGGAGCTGGGATCCTGCAGGGCAGCTGGGATCCTGCAGGGAGCCCTGTGCACTCTGGGGCACACACGTGTCACGGGCTGCCTCAGTGCTGACCTTCTGCTTTCCCACTGTCACACGTCCTTTCCCACAGCAGCTTGTCCACAGGGCTCTCCTGATCACTGCCATGGCAGAAAGCAGCTTGCAGGTGCTGTCCCAAGGATTTTCCTGCCCGGTGCTTGGTTTAAATTTTCTTTCTTTCAGTGTGCTTTTCCCCTCTATGGACACTGACACTGGGATGAGTAGATGGGCAAGGGCCCCTCAGGGCAGGCAGAAAGAAGAGGCTGCAGGAAGTTTGTAGACTCAACAGTCCCCGGCATGCCAAAAATCAGCTTACACAAATGAGAAACAGCTTCCCAACTGTGCAATAGCTATGTCATGGAAAAGAGGAGGAAGACAGAGATCACCCAAGCCTTGTCTCTTTGCAGATGCCACTCGAGGGAAGGGCCAATGACGATATGTGTTCTGATACACAAACTGCAACCACAACATCCAGCCCAGGCAGACAGCTCAGCGTGTTTGTGAGCCTGTCCATGGAATTCCCAGGGCACTGCAGGATGTAGCTGCTGCTGCCCCTGGCTCACCTCACCCTTCTCCATTCCTGGGAACGCCTCAGGGTTGCAGAGCACCTAGGGACAGAGGCAAGATTGCACAGTGGTTTTGGAACTGGTACAGCCAGCTCTGATGGGCCTGTGTCTAAAGCAGCAGCTTGGATCTGCAGTCTGACTATAATCTGTTATTTTAGTGTAGGATCTCCCATCAGGCAAGATTTATTTTTCCTGGAAGAAGGATGAGTTATCAGCATACTCTGTAAAGACAGAGCTCCATGCTTCGTTATATGGAACGCTAATTACAGGCAAATGCCCTAAAAGTGGCACATGCTCCAGAATAAAGCAGGGAACTGCAGGCATTGGAGGTGTCAGAATCTGTTCTAAAAACCACAGTGGAAGGAAAGGAGGGCTTAGCATCTATTTATAAATGAAAAATCACAAATTATGTAAAAGAAACGATACACAAAGTGTGTGCCCCACGTTACCCAATTCCAGCATGCAGTGTCACGAGGAGAGCACGCTGCTCCAGGCAGGATATGGCAGAGGTACAGCCACTGCTTTTGCACTCCTCACAGAAGTTCTCCTGGCCAGCCCCAGAGCAACTCCAGAAGCATCACATGAGTAAGAGAACAGAGCTGGGCTGCACTCCTGGCTCTGACACAGACTGGTCTGAGTGATCAGGAGCAAATGCACTCATCCCTCCCCTTCTCCCTGCACAGCTCTGCCTGCTCGTCCTGCAGGAGCTCCCTGGAGCAGGCACCGGCCTCAGCTGGTTTGGTACTGCTTAAAAAAATACTGGTTCAAGAATTTCCCCTGCCCAGGTGCCATCCATAGCACAAACTCCTAAAGGACACTGCTGGAAGGGACTCTGTGCAGCATGGGTTTCAATGTGGAGCTTTTCTCCTTTGCTGGAATGTAACAAATTCTCCAAAATGGATAAGCACTCTGGCAGCACAGGTCTGAGTGTCTCAGAGGGCCAAGGCTGGTTTTTCCCGGATAACTCTTTCGCTTTTACTCCTCAAGTCCAAATTTGTTTCCCCCTAGTCCTATAAATAGCGTATTTGCATTCTCGTCCCAGCCTACATGCACCACGCTTCTCCCCTAGGATGAATTTCATTTTGTTGTTTCCTGCCCAGACTTTTTACTAAACTACATGGTTTGGCTTTAATAGCTGAGCTGTTGCAAAACCCTTTTCTGAGAATATAATAAAATTTCTGGGTTCAGTGACGCACATAAAAACCCACAACCAGCACACAGGTCTCCAACCACAAACTAGACTGAGAGATAAAGCCAATAGTAGCTACTCACTGCCTGCTTGCTAAATGGCACGTCCTACTCATCACAAATGGCAAACCCCACACCAGAAGCAGCAGTACTCCAGCTGCCTTGAACCCACAGAGATGGGAAAGGGCAAGAACAGAGACAGGATACGGAGCAGCTGGAGCACATCACTGACTCCAGGGCAGAGCCCTGCTGCTCTGCCTGGTGCAGCTG